TTAGGAAGGCAGCATATACAGTGCCTTGCAAAACGTCCCCCCCCCTCTGGCCAAAAATATTTATTATATTAATCTCAGACCAGTTTCTAATTATTACAAAGAACAAAAGGTGCATTGTTACTCACTTTAGTGATATAACACAAACAAATCTTGAAAATACATGATGCAAAAGTCTTCACCTCCTAACATGATTATGCAGTTAATATTTGGTTAAAGCTCCTTTGGCAGCAATGACAGCTGAAAGTCGTTTTGGATAACTCTCCACATGCGTTGCACAGTATGCTGGATATATTTTTGCCCACTCCTGCTTGCATATATCCTCCAGTTTTTGTGAGTTGTAAGGATGTCTTCGATGCACAGCAATTTTCAAGCCTTTGTACATATTTTCGAGTGGGCTTTGGTTTGGCCACTCAGGGACTTTAATTTGTTTCTCCGAAACCATTCTTGGGTTGCCTTTGATCTGTGTTTGGGATCATTGTCCTGTTGAAATGTAAACAACAGGACATGGGGCTGTATTTGCCGGGTCATGAGCAGTGTTGGGTTTCCGCCATATATACCGTTTGTCATTTAACCCAAAAAGTTATATTTTGATCTCATCTCACCATAAAATTTTCTGCCACATTGTTGTATGGTTATGGGCATAATCCATTCGCGATCTAAGATGCGTCTTTGTCAGTAGCGGTTTCTTTCTTTCCACCCTACCATACAAGCCTTTTTTTGTGTAATGTACGTGATATTGTCGAGGTGTGTGCACTAACTCCAGTTGCTGCTATTGAAGTCTGTAGCTCCTTCAGTGTCACTGTTGGCTTGACAGTCGCTTCTCTCATGATTTTTCTGCTTGTTCGAGCGCAGACTTTCTTAGGGCGACCTGATCTTGGCAACGTTGAGGTAGTGTGACACACTTTCCATTTCTTCACAACCGATGTTACAGTACTTAATGACAAATTGAGAACCTTTGAAATTGATTTATAGCCTTCACCGGAATTGTGCTTCTGAACAATCTTCTTCCTTAGATCTGTAGAGAGTTATTTTCTCATCATTCTCAATATGTAACAGTAAACCAAATTTTAACTTTCAAAATACTCTATTTAAATCAATACTGATGGCTCTATATGACCTAAAGTATTTTTTCACATGGCTTGGTATCTGATAGAGTTGTACAGAGCCACTTGTATTTACTTTTGCAGGGTAGTGACGTAAAGTTAAGTTAACGATGGTAAAAGCTGAGGGGGTGTAGACTTTTGCAACATGTTTTCAAGATTTTTTTTGTGTTTGATCACTAAATTGGGTAACAATGCACCTTTTGTTTTTGTAATATTTAGAAACTGGTCTGAGATTAATATAATAAATATTTTTGGTCATTGGCACAGTGGTATGTCTGCGGACTTACAACTCTAGAATCCGAGTTTCGATATCCGTTGTGGGCAGAGCACAGATAGCTCATTGTGTTTCTTTATGCTTAACTTCAAACAATCAAACAAAAACCATTGGAGTTATTTCTTTCACAAAAAAATACCAGAAAATTATTACCAGCACAGGGGGGAGGGTGAACACTTTTACGAGGCACTGTATTTCACTGCTACACTGAAACAGCTGGATGACGTGTGAATGCATCAATGACCACACAGAACTACTGAAATTTGATACACAATTTTCCTAGAAATTCACCCATGTTCCTCGATGAGTTAGCAGTAAGTTTACTGAATTACAATTTACTTCGGGGCTCGATTTCCTGTTGTGATCAGGACAAGAGTGTCCACTATGTAGCTTTGTGACTTAAAGAAATGCACTCGTATTGGCCAGTTTTTCTTATTTGATAACTATTTTCATTGTATTCTCTCATTTGTTTTTCTAGTTGCCCTGGAGTTCAAGGCCATACCCAAGAAATTTGAAAATTTCATGGTGATCAGAGTTCAGTACCTGATGATGACAAAACCTTGTCGAAACGTTGAACATTTGCTGTTGTGTTAAACTTATATTAAAGTTTTTGTTCATTACCCATTCAAGCCGTCTCCAACCATTATTAGAGTTCAGTAAGTAATCCCATCACTAAGGCAGTGGAAAGAAGTAAATTGAATGGGCTGTAGATTTCGTAAAAGGGGGAAATGAATAAAGTAAGGGGTTTTAGAATCCCTGTTGAGTATACCCAAGAGCCCCCTGGAACTTTCATTGTGATCAGAAATACGAAAGTTAAAAATATTTCGTCATGGATAGTTCGCTTCATAGTATTGATTAAGAAGGTAAGTTCAGTTTTTGTTTATTGAATAGTGTCGTATTCGTGTCTATTTGTCTTAGATTTCATCATTCTATTCATACAGCTATATGACCATAAGGGAGCTGTGAAGGCAAGTTATCACTCCATCTACTTGGGTTTTTTTCACCAATAACCTGTTTTATATATTTTTAATTGTTTATTTCTGTTTCTTTGTTTGTTGAATTTTGCGCAAAGCTTCACAAGAGTTATTTGCACCAGACGTCCCTAATTTGAAAGTGATAGACTAAAGGGAAGACACTTAGTCTCACCACCAGTCCTGAGTTACTTTTGTTGGACTGTATAGTGGGATTTAACCATCACTTTTGGAACACTCCTAGGTCCCCAAAGTGAGGAGCATGATACGCTTGTACATTTTTTGGCCTGGCAAGGCCTGGTGGTTAGATTATTCGACTCGCAATTTGCAAGTTCGAATCTCTATCATAAGGCATGTTCACCCTTTCAGATGTGGGGGCGTTATAATTTGACGGTCAGTCCCACTATTCGTTGGTAAAAGAGTAGCCCAAGAGTTGGCGATTGGTGGTGTTGATTAGCTGCCTTCCCTTTAGTATATGACTGTTAAATTAGGGACGGTTAATACAGAAAGCCGTCGTGTAGCTTTGCGCAAAATTCAAAACAAACTACATTTTTAGCAGTAAGGGGAAGCAAACGACGGAACTTCAAATCCACAGTCAGGCACGTTAACCATTGAGCCATGTTCGTTCTGTCATCGAGCTCAAGTACCTTCCAAAAATCGTCTGCAGAAGGTGAATGATAGTTTTCCATGTGCATGCTTAACGTTTTAATTTTAATTTCATCTGTGAAGCTTGCAAATTGTGGTTAGATGTATCCCTACCACTGTGTGGGTTATATTCCTTTAAACACCTCTCCTTTACTATACACCCTACTATTCATATTTTGTAGCTTGTACCTCAGTTTTGCTAGTGGTATATGCGAAAATCTTTCTGTTTTAGTCTCGTTCAGGAAAGTTATGTCAGATTTAAAACATGCATTATATTTCATAATCCATGGTAGCGCAAAGGACGTGCACGCTGTTTTTTTAAAAGCACTACGGTTACAATTGTTCGATTATCTGTTTGTTTCTCAGGTTTTACGCATACCTACCCGAGAGATGTACATGTACAGCTGTCCCTAGTGTTGAAGTGATAGAGTGAAGAAAGCTATTCAACAGCGGTAACCTTCAACTCTTGGACTACTCTTGTTTGACTGAATAGTAGGATTTGACCGTTACACTTGTCACACATCCATGGCCCCAAAATGAGGAGCACGTTCTTGCACCAACAAGTTGTTAGCCATGAAACCTCGGATTCATAGTACGAGTACGTTATTCTCAGAGCACAACCAGCCCAGCTGTTCGAAATGTACACCGTTGGTATTACGTCAGAATGTCACAACATGATCACTTTCACACGTTCTTGAAGGATAGTGCTATCCCAACCAATTATTTAACAAAAGAAAAAGAGACAGTGAAACATAAACACGAGACGCAGAAAATTGTAGTAAAGACTAAAACACTATTGTGGCTCGAGACTTTGGGTCTTATGAACCAAAAGATAACAGAAATATGCTCTTCAATAAGTATAGGGAACGGGGTAACTAATGAATATGTCTTCAATAACTATTATAAGAAGTTTATTAAGATATCAAGACTTTACATGTTTGATATATAACAAGATTTTATTCGGAAAACTCTGGAAAGAGTGAATCGTTTTGTTATACCTAGTTGTGTCTGAATAATCTAATTGCGCAGAACGTATAATCCTTTCATTATTAAGTCACTCCATGCTATGGTTTGTTAATATAGTTGCATATCTTTACTTGTAGCTTCTTCCTCTCCGATACATAAACGAAACATAAAATAGTGTATGAAAAACATTATTTTGTTTTATATTTATGTAAAAAAAAAGAACTCATTTGAGTTAGCCAATACAGCACATACATGAAAAGATATATAGGTATATTCGGGTTAAAAAACGTTTTCTTTTGTGTATATATTTTTTTATTATCGTGCGATTTTTAGAACGTCCCCACCCCGGTTGAGGAGATGAGGTCCCTAACCACTGCTCTGTGTATTTTAACATCGTGTAGTTGCTAAAAGCTTATTTTCTAGGTTGTTAACCAAGGCTTATTGCAACTTGCTCCAAGTGGAGACCTTAGAATTAAAAGAGCTACCACTATATGGTATTAGTGTTCTGTCTTTGTAATTTACTGCTTTTCATTTTTTCCTTATACTTTTTCTACTGTTTATTTAACAACTTCTACTATTTTATCTCTAGTTTATCCATTCTTTCTTTTTTGTTTAATATCATGTCAGTTTCCTTTTATTTGATTTAATTCTATTCGTTTTAATTTTAGAAAGATAGTGAAACTAAAGGTGTATTTCTAAAACAATCAACTGCAAGTACAGTAAATAAGTCTTGTTCCCTAAATCAGAAAACATTCTCCTCATAGTTAAATTATGCATAAACTTATATACATATATAAATATGTATATTAAGTTTAGTATTATTAGCACTTAGTTTTATGAAAACTATGGAATAGCTTGTGGTATAAGATGCTATTTGCGTATCATATCTTGTACGTTGTCAATAATATAAGACATGCCCATTCATTTGCTTATAGACACTGTTCTTATACTTCACCGATAGATGGCAACACGGTAGCAACAATATTTGAGCACGTGGACACGTAAACTTAAACCAGAAAAAATAAAACCACAGTACGGCGATGGACTTTGAATCATAGCGTAATAGATGTTAAAATTAGATAACGTTATGGAAGATCTTTGGAACTAACCACTGGTTTGCTCCTAACAGTTTTAAGGGGAGCAGTGACTTTTCTGGTTTTTTTCCATACGTAATCGCAGACATATGTTAGTTTCATTTGGTAACCGGCATCTGAGCAAGGTCATAATCGTGTCGCTGACGTAAATTCATAAACATTGAAAGTGGCAAAACTAAGCTCTCTTGTCATTATCTTTACATTATAAGACTCACAATTTCATAAATTTTTGAAAATGCTCATCGGGTTTGTAGGAGCTGGACGAATGGCCCAAGCCCTTGCACAAGGTTTTATTGCAGCAGGTGAGAAACTAAGTTATGTCATTATTTTTTGCCAAGTTCTAACTTATGCCATAGAAATAGGAAATATTAAGTACTAAGGTAGATATGGGGAATTTTGTATGCATTTCTTAATCTTTACCCTATTCACGTTTTTCATTTCCGTTTATCCTATCCAAGCTCTTCTGTAGTTATATTTATTTTTGACTTTGCTCAGAATTTTTCTGACTCATTTGATGCTAGTATATATAATATAGTTCAACAGTGAAATTTCTTTTTATCAGCGATAACCTTATTCTTTAAAATTAAACTTTAAATTAAAGTAGCTGCTGTGATATACATTATACATAGTGAATATCAGTATTAATGTTTTGTTGACTGAAAAAGGCTTTAGGAGTCAATAAGCAATTTAGTCTTGGTTGCAGAAATCTTTTCTTAGAATTATATATTTATACACACACACACCTGTTTTCTTCTGGTATCTCTACTCTAAGCTCTAAGAATGTTCAGGAAAAACAGTAATGACATCTCATTTAAAATTTTAACTGTACTCAAGCATAGCTTCATAAATATATGGCAGTTCTGTTACAAAAAACAAGTGATGTGTTACTGCAGTTTGCTATAATTTTTGGTGTTGATGGGATTTAATTATAAACCCTGGTATATCCTGAGATTTATTTGGTATAAATTCAGATAAGACAATAAAATGTGCCAAATTAAATCAATAGAGCATTTTGGTGTTTGAGACTAATTAAGTAACATCTATCCTTTTCTGAAGCAATTTTTCATTCAGTGGATTCAAGCACTTTAATCTTGAGAATTACATCCACACAATTATTACTAAAAATTATTGTATGTATGTCCAATTCTATTATTGTAATTATGTCTTGAATGTCATAGCACATGAAACATTTAAAAGTGTAATAACACATTTATTTATTTTACTTCTGTTATTTCTATGTTTACATAATGTTATTTTGCAATATTTCATTAATTTATAGGTATAACAAAGGGAGAAAAAATTATAGCAAGTTGTCCACCACAAGACTCTGCCCTTCTGGAATACTTTGGGGTAGGACAGAAAAGAGCTCTTTATTTTTAGTGTGGATATTGCATGTGTATTATTATAAATGAATGGAGTGAAATGTAATTTAAAAAGCATTGGTGAAATTGACAGGGATAATTTAACATGAAAGACAAGAATATCTTAGAAAAGAACAACAGAAAAATCTTAATACCTGAAACTGATATAATAGAAGAGTACAGCTATAATGTTTGAATTTGACATACCAGTTCAAAATTTAGTGTGATATAGAAGCTACATGTACATTTATTAGATTGTTTCATTAGTGTGCTGTACAGAAGACATGATAGCTAATAGATCATAACATAATGTAGTATTAATAAATACTGCTAATTTGACAAATGTCAATCAAGAAAGTTAATCCAAAATTAAACATCTATTGTATGAAAATTGTTGGTTTATATTCTTGTTTAATTTTTTTATGGCATAATACTGTGTAATAGTAATGATTTTGTAATTTTGTTTAGATGTGCTGTTAAGGATTTTGTTGAATGCTTATGAAATCTGGTAAATTGTAAGAACATTTTGCAAAACACTTTTGAAAGACCAAATATCATGCATGTAATTTTACTTTGAACTAACATAGCAAACACAGGTTAAAACCTTTGTAATTATGTTTTATTTTAGTCAATGGGATGCAAAACAAGTTACAGCAATGCAGAAGTTATCCAGAGGTCTGAGGTTGTTGTTCTGGCAGTAAAGCCTCCTATCGTGCCAAAAGTGTTGCAGGAAGTAGCCTCAATATTTACTCCTGGTCATTTGATGGTATCAATTGCACTTGGCATTCCAATACGTTACCTGGAACAAGTAAGAACTTCACCAGACTCTACACATAGTTATAATTTCTATATGTTTATATTTTCCACATTCTAAACCCATTGATTATATATTTACATCTATGTTGTCATTTTACTGAACCATAACCAAATATCATTACCTTAATTATCGAGTATGTAATTTAGATAAGGAACTTTAATTTGCCTAGACAAAATTAGACCTGTATCTTCCACAGTTTTTGCTATGAATTATCTTGAATGATCAGTTAAATCATAATCTATTCTTATTTTATGTTTCTTATGAGATGCTTTAATTGGAAGTTTCTGTTCAAAAATCTCTGTAATCAGGAATGATATATTATGAATCCATAAAATAAACTTAATTTTATATTCTTTAAGTTTTTTCAAGGTTTTACCAGAATTTGTTACATACTTGCATTGGTCATATAACTACCGAACTGAGGAAAAACAAAGACAATTGTACATTTCACAAATACTTCATGTATTAATGACCATGGTTTCAACAGTAGTCATCATCAGGTACAGATTATATAACATTTAAATTGCAAAGATATTTGCTCACCTTTGGCAAATATGTTGTGTTGTTAAGAGAAAACACAAAATCAAATTAATTTTCTTAGTGCATATAATTCAACAATTGAGAATTTTACTGTGATTAAATATATAATTAAAAATTGTATCCACAACTTTCTTTCACAAAGCTTAAGTAGTATGTGTATTCAATATTTATCAAATTAACATAAAGAAAATCAAATCCATATTTGAATAGCTGATGCTTGAAAGAAAGAAAAATAATTATATGGAATTTTGAAAATGAAATGTGTTGCATGCAAAACATCCTTCTACACAAAAGTGTTATAATGTATCAATATGATAATCTTTGAGAACTAAAATTTGTAATATACCGTTGATAACTTTTCATCACACATAAGCTAGCAAATGTATATAGATCAGAACTAAACAAATATCTTGTAAATTAATGAAGCCCATTTTATATAATAAATTATAAACTGACAAGAAGTACCTATTGTCATAAGAAACTAACACCTATGATAATTAAAACAGATTGAACCTTCAGTTGGGTACCCCACTAGAAGTAATACTTTGACATTTTTAATCATTTCATAATTTTAAATTTCTGATCATTTCAAAATTACAAAACCCCTACATGTAAGAAAAGGTAGCATTTTTTGTTACCATATTTATAAATTTCAAACATAAAAATACAATCTTATATTTGATATAAATGTTGATGTATTGAAGAAAGACTAATTAAGTGCAAATGTTCACATTAATCACAAATAAATCTTTTTGCAGGGTATCAGTAGATTATAAATCATGTTTGATTTGCAAACCTCACAGAAATGTAATAGATATGATAACACCGAGTTTAATGAATAAAATTATAGATATTTTCACATTTTTATACCACTTGTAATAAAGATATAAACAGTAATACAAAGAAACAGGCTCTTAATTTTTGAAACAGGATTATTTGAAAAGTATAAAGTGGTCAGTATAACCTAGTACAGTGTCTGTATCTCCTTGATTTTGTTTGGCAGTCATTGAGAAAAAGTTGGTTAATGATACTTGTGTTTTTCTCAAGTGTTTAACATGGAAAATTGTGTGGAAGTATACAATATTTGGAATACAGAAATGTCATAGACTTATTATAGAATAGTGAAATTTGTTTAGATATACTGTACACAGTTTATAGAAGTTTCTGTAGATGTATGCATATTTAAAATTTGTGCCTCTACGAAACTCTCCTCACACATGAACTATGTATTTGGTATTTTTATCTTATACAAAGGTAATATAAAGTTCAGCAGTTTTAATTAATAATGATTCTATGCTTTTTGAGATATAAAAAATATAAATTCTACAGTGTTTTCTTGGTAAATGTTCTGAAAAATCATGGAGCAAAATGAAATTAGCCAATTTGGCAAAATAGGCAACAAAGAATATTTCTTTTTGCTGTAATATATATTTTGAAAGATTTGAATGCAGGAGATTAGCTTGCATCATGATACTGGATACTGACAATTATTAAAATATATAGACTAATATTGAGTAAAATATAATTATTTTCTCTTTCAACTAAACTTTCCCGCTGGTGTTTGATACACATATAGTTTATTTGCTTAGAACAAAATCACTGTGCACAATTTATTTATTATTGAGTTTAACTTTAAAAATAAATGAATAGTTAAGTCACTAAAATACGTGTTTGGAAATTTGTATCTTATGTTACTTGTTTCATTTAATAGTAAGTATTATATGTGATCATCAAAATTATAATAGTTTAAAAACAGAGTAATACTTCAGTGACAAGTGTTTACCAAAGATATTTCATTGAAAGACACAGGCAACTGAAGTATTGAGATCAGACAGAAAATGGCTAAATTGTGAAGCCATGGGTAAGATTTGTAATTTTGTAATCTGAATGAAATATGATTTTGATAATCTTTGAAAGAATTGATTTTGACGCCAAACAGGTATTTGTTAATATTGTAAAATATATATAATTGTTCACTGTATGTTAATTTATATAATAGACCAATGTGAAATACTACAATAGAAACACTTGTAAAATGTGTAAGGTAGTTAGAAGTCCTGAAACAGTATATCTTGTCTAAAGTAAACTTGAAATTCAGGTAAGTAATATCTAAATTTAAAGTAAATTTAACTTCCATTTTAGTGAGGGAATATTTCATGCATTAAAAAGTGTATCATTGCATTATTCTAACTATAAATGTTATTTATCATATAATGCTGTTTTTTTAGAGTTATCTTTTAATATCACATTAATTTTATTTACTTGAATTTACTGGTAGTTCTTTAAAAAATGTTAGGAATTGGGGTTGACTTGAACTTTCTTAGTTCACCAAATCATAGATTTTTTTCACTTTTTGTTTCTAGCCATCCACAGTGAATTATATTATGAATTGGTTTTCATACCCTGATTGGTCCAATGACTCTTATGAAAGCACATTTCCAGAATTTCTTAATTAAATCTGTAAAAGAAAAAGTCTTCTCAGTATTTAGAAACAGGTGTCAGTCATAAAAAGAATGTTAGCTATTAGTTTCATAATGGATTGATTGTATAATTCATCTTTTTTTAGCAGTTTTAGACTTGCACAATGCTTGATGTGTCACTAAGTTTTTAAGAATTGTATCTACACTTTATAGTTATAAATAAAATGCAAATGTATAAGTGATTTTTATAGTATATCTATTTGAGAAGGTAAGCATCCTTGTCCTAATTTTTATTAAAATTTGGTAAATATGAAGTAGTTAAAAATATAATAGCTTAAAGTACATTTATGTTTTTATCTTTAAAATGTTTATATAGGTAAGATGCAGATATGTTAGCTGCATTGATAATATGTTTTATTTTCCAGCCACAAATAGCATATACGCTACTGCGATTTGTGAAAGCTGTTTTAAAATATCAGACAGAGATCAGATGATGTTACTGATAGACAATAGTTGGTAATCACAAGTGCATGTTTTTACAAGGTTGATGTAGCACCCTAGTATTTTGAACATGTACATCATGTACTTACATGTCTAATGCATATGTTCCACTTCACCTTTTAGCAAAATATAGACAAGTTTAAAAAGAAACTACAAAATCAGAAAAGAAAATATAAGTTTGTAACAAGTATAGTAATGCTACATGATAAGGTATCAAAAACTTGATTTCATTACCTTCTGCCTTGTTGTACACTTGTTACTAAATCATGTAAGCAACTAATTGCTTAATGTTATAATGTTTGACAAGTGTCAATGTAGCAGTTGACTCCTGTAATCTGTAGTCCAATAATATTTAGTTTTTTAAGTATGATTTTTAACTATAGTAAGTACATAATTTTTAGATGGAAAATAAAATTAAGATGTTATGAAACCATGTTTTTAATTCAGTAAAGTATGAATTAATATACAAACAGTAGCAAGAGTATGTGTAAATGTAAATAAAATATTTATCCTAAACATTCTAAATTTTGTTTGGGTTAATATAAATATACAGAAAAATGTTATACTTTTCGCATTACACTGTTTTTAATCAGTTAGTTCATTGGTTAAAAAAGGTATGGCAACAAACTCACCTAATTCTTTGTCAGTAGTTGTCAGGAGTTCTAGTTAAGAACAACTTTGTTCATCCATTTTGTGCAACATTAAATCAATGATATAACCATGTGTAATTTGATTTCATACACCATTTGGTGATTTCAATAATAATGTTATTACTGCAAGAACATTCCAATAAGATATCTTGCCTCCACTCACAAAAAACTTTCTCGAATTATTCTGCCCTCTATCACGCAGATTCTTGCTCGCCACTAGCCTTCATACTCTCACTTACCTCTGCGTACTAACACGCAAAGAATTATGCAGCAACCCTCCACCAACAGGAGTGCAACACTGCCCTATTGTAACTAGCAACCTCTATCAAACAGATTTTTGCTCGCCACTAACCTTCATACTCCCACTTACCCCTGTGTACTAACATGCAAATGATTATGCAGCAACCCTCAACCACAGGAGTGCGACACTGCGTCTATTGTAACTAGCACCCTCTCTTATCTTGTGGGTGTTAACCACTTCTCGATTGGCAGTCTTATTGAATAGACGTGTATTCCCTTGCATTTTGATTCACTTATCCCCAAGTTTTTACTTTTTTAATTTTTCCACTTCAGTTACATTGTTATTTACCATTTTTGTTCTCTTTTGTGGAGAGTTACGAATTAGGTTATTTATCTTCTATCCTCTTTCAGTTTTATGAGTTATGCACTCAAAGTTTCAGGTGGTCACAACTACAACTTCTGTTACTGCTGCAGTGCAACTACCGATCACGTTCAATGGGTCAGAACCACAATTGTTGGCCCATAAAGTGATGGCTCTGGTCTGTTGATAGTTGAACATTTTCATGTAACAATCAGACCAAACTTATGATTGCTCTCTCATACCTGCTCAGGGTTTCGTTGATTGGGAAGTTTTGGATTT